TACACATCATTGGAAATACAATTTATGGTCAGGTGCAGTGGCACATGCCTGTAATCCTGCAACCAGGAGGCTGAGGCAGGAGTATCTCAAGTTCAAGGTCAGCCTCAACAACTTAGTAAGAACCTATCTCAAAATAAAAAAAAAATTAAAGGGGCTTGCAGTGTATCTCAGTTGTAGAGCACCTCTGGGTTCATCCCTAGTATTGAAAAGAAAAAAAAGGGAGGGGGTATAATCTATGCAAAATTTTTAAATTAATTGAATAATACTCATCTCTTGAAAGATGTTTGTCTAAGTTTGTCCATGTGCACAGTTGAAATAAATTACAAGGTATGGCCTAACAGATGTATTTAGGGTAACTTTAAAAAAATAGTTTTTATAAATATTAAACAACTTCTTGTACAACAAAGTTATTATACATATAAGGCAAACTCAGAGCTTTTATACTTGCATTTATTTTTCATTTAATTTTTAAAACACTACTGTAATTGAATATTAAAACAAAACAATAAGAAGTGTAAGCATATTTTGATTGTAGTTCTTCACTCATTCACTACTGCATATAAAATGCCTGCAGTGGGTGTTATTTACTGGCCCTATTAAGAGGTCTTACACTGAACACCACCTCTGCCATGTTGTTCATCATACTCATATGCTTCTCCATTATAATGGCACTATCTTTCCTGATTGGGATCAAAGTCTACCAGTTCTACAGGATCCATTTCATCAGTCTCTTCTACTTCCTTCCTCTCAAGTAGGAGTTTTTCTAGCAGAGTTTGTCAGGAAAGAGAAAGCCATTTTCAGAAAAGTTTACCTTAAACTTGATGATTAAGCAACGCTTTTCATATGGTCTATGATAAATTGGCATAACTTTATTTAGCACACACTTTATATCTCCATACTTAACCATCTGATCTGGATGAGAGGTGATAACTATGGTTCAATTATGAAGAGTGGATATTGGCTTCTGGAAGCCACCTGGTGCTTCAACCAGCTGTAGTCCATACACATGAAAAGGTCTTCTCCTTGTCCATTAAAAATAGCAGGATCGGGGCTGGGATTGTAGCTCAGTGGTAAAGTGTTTGCTTACCATGTGTGAGGCACTGGGTTCGATCCTCAGTGCCATATAAATTAAATAAATAAAATAAAGGTATAGTGCCCAACTACAACTAAAAATTAAATAAAAATCTATTAAAAAATCCCCCAAACCAGAATGGTCCTTCAGATCTTACACAATGATAATATCTCCTGCTTCCAGTCTTGGCTCTTGGTCTCCTTCACTATGGAATGTTATCTTCTATCCATCTTTCATACTTTTGTCAATATGAACCTTCTAGAATCTTCTCTCCAACTATCTTCTGTTGCGGCTTTGACCTCTATCTTTAGGACTGATCTGTTCCCCATGGCCCTGGGGCTCCATGCACACAGAGTGGATTTGCTGAACCATTCCAGGTCCTAAGTGATGAATTCTTATTTGCATTCCAGTACCTCAGTAGTTGGGACAGCACTCTATTGCTCCTTTCTTGTCACCTTGGCCTTCACACTTGTCACAAATCACATTCTTTTGCATAGCCAGTTCTTTTGTTGCACCATTATTAAATCTTCTAATGTTACTGAGAGCTGATACACAACAAAATTACCTCTCCTTTCTCTCTGCATCCTTCCTCCTCCTCCTCCAAAAGCCATATCAAAGATGTCCATGGGGGAGCCAAAAACCACCATCTGCTCCACTCTCCTTAATTGCCTGTTCTCCTCCTTTGTCATATAATTCCCTTTTCTTGGCATCAGAGAGAACTTCATAAGCTTGAAAAATCCTTTAAAAATTTTCTCCTTCATTTGGATTCTTATCAGTATGGTACTTCAAGGCCAGTTTCCTATAAGCCTTTTTCAATTCTTCCTAGGTGCCATTGGGTTTGACCCCCCAAAACATCATAGTATGTGTTTTCATTCACCATTTTCTACAGCTGGGGAGAGGGCTGGGACTGGTGTGGGGGAGTGGGATTTTGTGCAGCTTGGGCAGCTGCCCCTTCTCTGCTCTCACCAAATGTTTTGAAAATTTCCAGAAATGTTTTCTCTGGCTCATAATTTTGGAGGTTTTAGTTCATGGTTGGTTAGGCTATTGATTTTGGTTTGTGGCAAGGCAGTATAACATGGTGGGAATACGTGACAGAGGAAGTTGCTTACATTGTGGTAGCCAGGAAGTGCAGGGGCCAGGGTGCCAGTACCCCCTCTAGGGCATGCCCCGGACAACCTAACTTCCTTCCATTAAGCCCTGTCTCTTAAAGGTTCCACCACTGCCCAATAGTATCACTAGCTGGGCCACTGGGGACACTTATCCAAATCAAAGCATGGTGAATTCATACTTAAGATTGTCAGTTCTGGGCTGGGGTTGTGGCTCAGTGGTAGAGCACTTGCCTCTCATATATGGGGCACTGGGTTGATCCTCAGCACCACATAAAGAAATAAAATAAAGGTATTGTGTCTACCTACAACTAAAAATTAAAAAAAATTGTCAGTTCTCATAATACATCAAACATATTTATCCTTTTACAGTTATATATTTCAGTTATCAGCTGGTAATTTTCCAGTAATTTTATTTCTTTTCTCATATAGATATGCCTAATTTTAATATAATCAAATATATCCATCTATTACTTTGTGATTTCAATTTTGTCAGAACATTTGGAAACCCATTCCCTGCTTTAATAGTTATAAAATATTTATCCATATTTTCTTTAAAAACTGATGACTAATTTTCACTTTTAAACTTTGATTCATTTAGAATTAATTTTGGTTTGGTCAGCTTTGGTGAGGGTGGAATCTAACTTAAATTTTTCTAAATAGACTATTAGTTGCTAATAGTCATTTCTTTTAGAAACTTTGCTGTCATACTTGCCTCAAAGTTTGCATGCCTATACAGTCACAGTCCTTTACCAGAAAGCACTCTAGCATATGCACAGATAATCATGAGTATGCTCAGAAACCAGGAGATTGTGCTGTGTGAAAAATTTTACTATTTTTCATTGTTACCTTTCATTCTTTTCAAAATATGTTTCTTGGGTGACCAAATATATATATATATGAAAGGATATGTATATGCATATATATACACATACATATATACACATATATAGACATATGTATATATATGTATCCTTTAATATATATATGTGTATGTATATATATATATATATATATATACATATATATATATATATATATACACATATATATATCCAGCAATCATACTTTTACCTGTTGCACATCCCACCCACACTTCACTTTTTTCTTCTTATTTTCAAGGTGCTGGAGATTGAACCCTGGGCCTTGCGCATGCTAGACAAGCACTATACCAATAGTTGCCACAGCTCACAACTTCTACCACTGTTGCTTCTCACTTTTTAATCTTCTTTCCCAAGCATCTGTATCTAATTTTTTTTTGTAGTGCTGAGGATTGAACTCAGGGCCTTGTTCATGTGAGGCAAGCAGTCTACCAACTGAGCTATATCCCCAGCCCACATCTGTATCTTTTTTTTATACTTTTATTTTTTAATTTATTTTTATGTGGTGCTGAGGATCAAACCCAGGGTCTCACATGTGTGAGGTAAGCACTGTACTGCTGAGCCACAACCCCAGACCGACTGTATCTTTTAAGATTGTTTTTATCTTGTTTAAAGTAGGAGAAATTGGAAAGGATGGAGGGGGTAGTTATTAGAAAAAAGGAGCAGAGGGTGATGGAATGTGTTAAAAATGTATTTGACAAGTATTTTTAACTAAATATTTATGTCTTTCATCCATACGAGACTTTTAAAAGAAATTTTATTGATACATTATCATTATACATAATAGTGGTATTTTTTATGCCATATTAATACATGCACATAATTTGATCAATCTCATTCCCCAGTACCTTTCCTTTTCCGTCCCTCCTCCCTCCTCTCTCCACAATCAGCTTCTTCTACTCTATTGGTCTCCCTTCTATTATAATTGTTATTATTTTGATTAATGCAGTATAATTATATAGACAAGCAGGATTCATTTTTTGTGGTGTATTGAGGCTTTTGCAAAGTGGATTTTACAAATTATGAATTATTTATTTACATTCTGCTTTATCTCTCTCTCTCTCTCTCTCTCTCTCTCTCTCTCTCTCTTGCAGTGCACAGGTTTAATGTGAAAACTCAAATACTAGAGGGGCACACAGAGAGCATAATGATTGGATTAAAACCAATCACTATCATTCCTTAGCAATTGCTAAGATTCCTGTATCTCAGAAGAAAAACTCCTAGGGTTAAACTATCATCAAACTCAGTGGTCTAGTATATTCCCAGTGAGAACTCACTCTCTCCAGGTTCATAGATAAATCCCAGGTTTCAACAGAGATAGCTAGGACCACTAGCACCCTTTCTCCTCAAACACTTCGGGCTTTCTCAATATCCAGACTCATCTGTGTGCAACTTTTCCCCCCACTTACTTTACTTAAGAAGTTCATGGAATTTTTTTTGCCATGAAAAATTATCTAAGAATGGAATGTAAAACCATAAAAATGGACTAGCTATAATATTTATATTTATTACCTTGAGTCATCAGTCTGTCTATAGTTGGATATGCATTCATAGATCCAGGTCTCTTGAGTTTTCCTTGTCCTCAGTCACTTGAAGACTGGCTTCTGGGAAAGAAAGTTGATCTAAAGTTGAGCTCCAGAAGCCTCAGGATGGCTTTCAAACCTTGTCTTACTGATAGGTCTCTTCCCTCTTATATACTTATTTCTTTTTACCTCTGAATTTTTTTTCATATCTTTGCATACAAGTTTGAAAGCCCATCAATTGTGCAGTTTCCTTGAATCCTGCAGGTTTAGGTCCCTAGAAAAGGAATTCTCTTTTCTGACCAACCCCTAATTTTATGTTCCTAGGAGTCAGCCATTCCAAATGATTTCTCTTTAGATGCTTGCCCATGGAGGTCCCATTCTGAAACCAACTTTTGAATCTGTTCCTGAGATACTGTCCATGGGAAAAGAAAAATTTCATACCATTGCCTTTTACATGTTGCTTCCAAATTCCAAGACAGACATTTACTTGTTTGTTTTCTCTCCCTTAGGATTTGTGCGTCTGGTTGGAGGATATGGACCTTGCTCTGGGCGAGTGGAAGTGAATTCTGGAGGAGGATGGACTCCAGTATCTGATGGGAATTTCACATCACCCACAGCCCAGGTCATCTGTGCAGAGCTGGGGTGTGGCAAGGCTGCATCTGTCCTGGGGAACCTGCCCCTTAGAGAGGATAGTGAACAGGTCTGGGCTGAAGAGTTCCAGTGTAAGGGACAGGAACTTGCACTCTGGTTCTGCCCCAGAGAACCCTGTCCTGGAGGCAACTGCCCTCACAGAGGAGCTGTGCATATTGTCTGCTCAGGTGAGATAGCAGGACTTTAACCTCTCTGCACATTCTGTTCAGGTAAAAAAAACAAATGTCTGAGGTTTGCTGAAATCCTGTCTTCTCCTGTCAGAATACACAGAAGTCCAACTCATGAAAAATGGCAGCTCTCAGTGTGAGGGTCAAGTGGAGATGAAGACCTCTGGAGGCTGGAGAACACTCTGTGCCTCCCACTGGAATATGGCCAATGCCAATGTTGTCTGTCATCAGCTGGGCTGTGGAGTCGCCATCTCCACCCCAAAAGGAGAGTACTTTGTGGAAGGAGGAGATGAGATCTGGAGAGACCAATTCCACTGCTCAGGGTCTGAGTCCTTCCTGTGGAATTGCCCTGTGACTGCCCTGGGTGTTTCTGCCTGTGCCCATGGAAACACAGCCTCTGTGGTCTGCTCAGGTAAGAGAGATCAGGGTTGATTGGTATTCAGTTTGCTCATTGAGTGACATGTTTCTAAGAGCAGAGAGCATGGAGAGCAGACTTCAAAAGGGAGACATTCTGTGGTGAAATGTGGTTCTTCTACTGATCGTACGTATTTCAGTTCAAGTTAGGGAGTGTAAAGAGTGATGATATCTTTAAAAACATTACTACTTAAGTACAATTCATAGAGAAAAGTATAGAATCAATAATTGTATGACTTAATGAATCAAAATAGAATGTACCCAGTCATGTAACTCCAATCTCAATTAACAAAGAACATTAACTAGCTACAGAAGCTACCTTCACACCCACCAATTACTATACCCCCGGCAGGAAACCACTCTCCTGACTTGCAATGCCATAGAATATTTTAAACATTTTGTAAAATCATGCAATATATATATATATATGTATATATATATATCTTTTTTAATGTCTAACTTCTTTGAATCATTATTATGTTTGTGATTCATCTATAGTTGTGTTGATAGACGTGCTTCTTCATTCACTGTTATTGCTGTGTAGTGTTCCATTGAATGACCACATGGCTGCATGTTGATCCATTCAACTAATGATGGAGATTTATGTCTTTTTTCCCAATTCTTAACTATTAAAAATAGCGATGTTACAAATAATCATGACTCAATGACTCTTGGTGCAAGTATATATGTATTTATTGTACATGTTAGACACTTGGCTTTTTGTTTTCACTCTGTTAATGGTGTTTGTGGGTGAGCCAAGTTATTTTAATATCTCATCAACTCTTTCTTGTAACCATAGTACTTCTTATGTCCTTTAAAAGAAAATTGTCTGTCCCAAGATTCCGAGTAATTTCTTGTACAGTCATTTTTATTTATCATATAATTATATAATCCTTCTAAAATTGATTTTTTTTTGATATCAGGAGTTGAAACCAGGGGCACTTAACCACTGAGCCACATCCCCAGCTTTTTTTTTTTCTATATTTTTCAAATTTAGAGATGGGGTCTCACTGAGTTGCTTAGGTCCTTGTTAAGTTGCTGAGGCTGGCTTTGAATTCATGATCCTTCTGCCTCAGTCTCCAAACTGCTGGGTTTACAGGCGTTTGCCACCATGCCTGGCTAAAGTTGAATTTTTAGCAAGCTAGAAATACAATTTCATAGACTCAGGACTCTTTCCTGAAAAGACTGGTTCTGCATTGCATTGCCACCTCTGTCACATACAGAGTACAGACACGTCTGAGTCTTTCCAGATGCCATTCTGTATCATTGTATCAGTGTTTATCTTGCACCAAGACCACACTACCTTTGTAGTAAATCTTGACATAGTGAATTTGAATTAAAATAACAGCTCCAACTTTGCTGTTTTTCTCCCCATTCTTGGACTTTTCCAAATAGAGTATATTTTGAATTAAGTTGTCATTTTCCACCAAAAAAAGCATGATGATAGTTTGAGGTTTGGTTTTAATCTAAAGATAAAATTCGAGAGTAATTTGCTTTGACAATATGGAGTTTTTCAATTCATCTATGTGTTGTTTGTGTCCATTTATTTATATCCTTAGTTTTTTGGAGATCTTTTACATCATTGATTAGATTTTCTTTTTTTTGTTTCTGTGAGCACTCCAGTTTTTCAGTTTTGTTTTATAACTGTCTATTGCTATTAGTTGAGGTAATTTTTTGCTTTTATTTTGAATATTGAACTTGTGAGAGGTGCTATAATTAAGCCATAATTTCTAATCATATAATTGTAGATTTTGGATTTTCTATATTTGTAAATTTTCTGCAATCACGTAGTCAGCAAATTATTATAGTTTCATTCTTTTTAATTTTTATAATACTGTTTCCCATTATTTGAAGTAATTTTGAGGTCTAGTATACTACTAAGTAAAAATAGCAATAATAGATATTAATGTCATCTTTCTCATTTTAATATGCCATTCTAACAAGTGACAATTATTCCAGGGTTTTATTTTTTTCTGATAATTGTTTCTCTTCATTTTCTTCCTCATTTAATCATGTTCAAATAGGATTAATTTTTATGTCTTTTTAGAAAAATTTGGCTTAATTAATTTTTCCTGTATATTTTCCCTATAATTCATTGATTTCTATCTACAATTCTCTTTATTATTCATTACTTCTTCTTTTTTTAGTAATATAAAAAACTTTAATAGGAAATGGACAAATGGACAAGATCATAAAATATTACATATGATTTTAACGCAACTACCTCAACATTTCAATACTTGTTTGCTAATCAAATCACATAACACAAAATGCTAAATAATTCTGTTAATATTTGACTAAGATATATAAATAAATTAATGAAAATTCAAATTGTCTAGTAAGGTATGTTTAACCTAAATTATTAATACTATGTAAAGATGATCATGGTTAATACAACTTAAGCATTTACAGAACACTATTTATGTCCAATATTGACATATTAAATCAAAACATCCCAGAGAACTCAGTATCAGGTTATAAAGAAGCTTTATTTAGCTTGGTGTGGTGGCACATGCTGTAATTTCAGAGACTCAGAAGGCTGAGGCAGGAGGATTACAAGTTCAAAGCCAGCCTCAGAGATTTAGCAAGGCTCTGATCAACTTATCAAGACCTTATCTCAAAAGTTTAAAAAAAAAAAAGGTGGAGGGGAGCTGGGGATGTGGCTTGGCAGTTAAGTGTCCCTGGATTCAATCCTTAGTATCAAAAAAGAAAACAAAAACAGCTTTATTTATCACTCTATTAACAAATGCTTTAGTAATTAAGTAGAATATTAAGGTCATAGATCAAGTTTCGTATAAAAGGACTATTACTGTTCACTTAGAAAATTCATTTTCATGATGTGTCTTAGGAGGCTGAGGGTACCTTACAGACACAAAATAGGTAAATAAAAAAATTGCTTTTTTCCTCGTCAGGTTTCATTTTTTTTTTATTGGAATGAGATTTGAGGGTGGAGTACTGAATTTGGTAGGGGTTAACATATTTTACACTTTATCCAAATTAAAAAATTCTTGAAGAACAAAACGAGGCATAAATTTTACTCTATAGCACAAATCTTTGCTAAACTAAAAATAATGCTTTAAACAAAAATTTTGAGATACATCAACAACCAATAAGTTTCAAACAAAATGTAGTGATCAAAATATTTAACTATCCTTTATCAAGCTTCAACAAATACATTCAGTTTTCACTGTCTGAGCAAATCAATTTTAGTTTCTTCATAGTCCTCCATCTGTCTTTTAACATGACACTTGTTCGGTTGTTGAATTTATAATGTGATAGTATTTTAGACCAGTTTCCCTCTCCATACTTCCTCACACCAGATCTCAAATTCTTGTCTTCTTCCCAAAGCCATGCCTGTCTTTTTCTAGGTCGCTGTTTTTTAGGAGTTATGGGTTGATTGTTTGAAACATATACTCTCTTGCTTTCAGTGACTGCTGTTTTCTTTCTTTTTTTTTTCTTTCCACTTTGAAGAGTTCTTACTCTCTCCTCTTTCTCATTAAAGTCTTGCTGCCAGCTTCCATGTTTCAATTTGGATATGAAGAGATTCTTGTGAGACCTTTTTACTTTATCCAAATTGACTTCAGTTTCCGTTTCAATATCATTACCATTAATTTTATCTTGAGAAGTTATTTTTCTTGATTTTTCACTTTCCACTACTTTTGCTGCTGCCTTCATTAGAAAAGTTGATGATTTTTCATTAAGCACATAATTCACATAACTCTTAATTTTCTCCATCATGTGGTTGTAGCTGAAGTGTTGAAAAAAAGAATGGAATATATCTTTCTGAGGGATTATCATAAGCAATTTCCTTTCTAAAGGCGTGTGAGAATTTGCATCACAAAATATTCTTTCAAAGACTTCTTCTGCTTCCTTAAAACTGCCATTTTCCATACAAACAGCTATAGCCTGAATTTAAATTAAATTCTCTATTTCTTCATGAAGTTTGTCATGTTCTTTTTCAATTGAAGCCCAAATCATCAGGGCTGATTCCAAGGGTGTAATTCGCTCATCATTTTCTTTTTTTTGTTGTTGTTGTATATTTATTTTTATTTATTATTAGTTGTTCAAAACATTACAAAGCTCTTGACATATCATATTTCATACATTTGATTCAAGTGGATTACGAACTCCCATTTTTACCCCATATACAGATTGCAGAATCACATTAGTTACACATCCACGTTTTTACATACTGCCATACTAGTGTTTGTTGTATTCTGCTGCCCTTCCTATCCTCTACTATCCCCACTCCTCTCCTCTCCCCTCCCATCTTCTCTCTCTACCCCACCTACTGTAATTCATTTCTCTCTCTTGTTTTTTTTCCCTTTCTCCTCACTTCCTCTTATATGTAATTTTGTATAACCCTGAGGGTCTCCTTCCATTTCCATGCAATTTCCCTTCTCTCTCCCTTTCCCTCCCACCTCTCATTCCTGTTTAATGGTAATCTTCTTCTCATGCTCTTCCTCCCTGCTCTGTTCTTAGTTGCTCTCATTATATCAAAGAAGACATTTGGCATTTGTTTTTTAGGGATTGGCTAGCTTCACTTAGCATAATCTGCTCTAATGCCATCCATTTCCCTGCAAATGCCATGATTTTGTCATTTTTTAGTGCTGAGTAATACTCCATTGTGTATAAATGCCACATTTTTTAAAAAATTTTTTTATTGTTGTTGTTCAAAACATTACATAGTTCTTGATATATCATATTTCACACTTTGATTCAAGGGGGTTATGAACTCCCATTTTTACCCCGTATACAAATTGCAGAATCACATCAGTTACACATCCATTGATTTACATAGTGCCATACTAGTGTCTGTTGTATTCTGCTGCCTTTCCTATCCTCTACTATCCCCCCTCCCCTCCCCTCCCCTCCCCTCTTCTCTCTCTACCCCCTCTACTGTCATTCATTTCTCCCCCTTGTATTATTTTCCCCTCACTTCCTCTTGTATGAAATTTTATATAACCCTGAGGGTCTCCTTCCATTTCCATGCAATTTCCCTTCTCTCTCCCTTTCCCTCCCACCTCTCATCCCAGTTTAATGTTAATCTTCTTCTCATGCTCTTCGACCCTACTCTGTTCTTAGTTACTCTCCTTATATCAAAGAAGACATTTGGCATTTGTTTTTTAGGGATTGGCTAGCTTCACTTAGCATAATCTGCTCTAATGCCATCCATTTCCCTGCAAATTCTATGATTTTGTCATTTTTTAATGCAGAGTAATATTCCATTGTGTGTAAATGCCACATTTTTTTATCCATTCATCTATTGAAGGACATCTAGGTTGGTTCCACAGTCTTGCTATTGTGAATTGTGCTGCTATGAACATCGATGCAGCAGTGTCCCTGTAGCATGCTCTTTTTAGGTCTTTAGGGAATAGACCTACAAGGGGAATAGCTGGGTCAAATGGTGGTTCCATTCCCAGCTTTCCAAGAAATCTCCATACTGCTTTCCAAATTGGCTGCACCAATTTGCAGTCCCACCAGCAATGTACAAGAGTATCCTTTTCCCCACATCCTTGCCAGCACTTGTTGTTGTTTGACTTCATAATGGCTGCCAATCTTACTGGAGTGAGATGGTATCTTAGGGTGGTTTTGATTTGCATTTCTCTGACTGCTAGAGATGGTGAGCATTTTTCCATGTACTTGTTGATTGATTGTATGTCCTCCTCTGAGAAGTGTCTGTTCAGGTCCTTGGCCCATTTGTTGATTGGGTTATTTGTTATCTTATTGTCTAATATTTTGAGTTCTTTGTATACTCTAGATATTAGGGCTCTATCTGAAGTGTGAGGAGTAAAGATTTGTTCCCAGGATTTAGGCTCCCTATTTACCTCTCTTATTGTTTCTTTTGCTGAGAAAAAACTTTTTAGTTTGAGTAAGTCCCATTTGTTGATTCTAGTTATTAACTTTTGTGCTATGGGTGTCCTATTGAGGAATTTGGAGCCCGACCCCACTGAATGTAGATCGTAGCCAACTTTTTCTTCTATCAGACACCGTGTCTCTGATTTGATATCAAGCTCCTTGATCCATTTTGAGTTAACTTTTGTGCATGGCGAGAGAAAGGGATTCAGTTTCATTTTGTTGCATATGGATTTCCAGTTTTCCCAGCACCATTTGTTGAAGATGCTATCCTTCCTCTATTGCATGCTTTTAGCCCCTTTATCAAATATAAGATAGTTGTAGTTTTGTGGATTGGTTTCTGTGTCCTCTATTCTGTACCATTGGTCCATCCGCCTGTTTTGGTACCAGTACCATG